GCCCAGTCCTGCCCCATTAGGGAAACACGGGATCGAGCAGGACTCCTCCCAGGTGTCTTTCCCTGGAATGGGCCGTCGGAGGAGAGACACTTCAGTCAATCCCCTGCGAATACAATCTGCTGCTCAGAGCCCTGGCCCTTCCCAGAGGGATATCTCGGGAACCGTGCTGGGAATGAAAACAGAAAGCCCAGAGGAAGGAAAACAATGTGGCGTTTGAAACCAGACAGGAATCCTCCCTGACAGAGGAAGATATTGATGATAATACTATTATTATCATCATCTATATTAACAACTGATTAATACATAAGCATTACTAAATATATTATTAATATACTATTTATATTTTCATTATATTGTATATTATTACTATTAATATAATATTATTTAATTAAAATTAACAAGTAAGTATTAATAATTAATAAGTACTTATTAATGACATCTCTATTATTATTATACTGTAATATTAACTTATGTATCATCACTTTTTTGGCACTTTCCAGTAAAGCAATTCGATCCTATTAATTCAGTTTAATTGATTGTTAATTAATAATAGGGCAACGACGACGATCCCTGCTCACTGGCAGTAGTTCCCAGCCCTGGTCCTGCAGGAACACTGGGACACTGGAACACTGGTGCCGGCTGGCGACTTAATTTATTAGACTTTAACTTGTTTCTTCTATTTGTCCTCTGGGAGCCTGTTCCATCCTAGACCCGCCCAAAACGGGAGGGGCCTCGAACAAAACACACCCACAGTGGGCGTGGTGTCCCCCCACAGACACGCCCTTTATGGGAGTGACACCGTGTAGGACACGCCCAGGGTGAGTATTTTGATTCCCTGCTGTTTACATCTCAGTTAACACGCCGGATTGAGAGGAGTTCTGACACTCAGGACTTCTCCTGCAGGTGCTTGGCGTCAAACACAGACTCCGGGACCGGGGTGCTGGTTCCCCCTGCTTTGTTGAAACGCACGATAAGCGGTCATCGGTCGAATGTGTGCCCTGAAACCCCCGCCCCCACCACCACCATGAAATCAAGAGATATCATGTCTCACAGAAGCCGACACACGCCTTGCGAAACTCTGGTGCGCTTCGGCGTCGCTCGTTAATTTGTCAAACGGGAGTAAAAAAAGGATCAGATCCTCAGATCACAGCTAGATGCGATTCACCACAACTGCGTTTCGGCCCTGATGATGATGATTAACCCCCTGAAAAGGAGTGAACGCGCCGTGCCCACTCTACAAAACCCAGCACCATCGCTGCTTTTAGAAATCAGTTTTGATCTCCTCCAACTGCGCCAGGATTTCACCTGGGCCGGTCTCAGTGGCCGGAGCGCAGACACGACTTTTTATTGGGGGGGGGGGAGACCTCGAGTTTTCCTCGTCGGGCATTAATAAAAGTCAGATCGAGAGCTCTGCGCTCGATCTGCCTCAGGAGCGGGGACAGGGGAGCAGGAAACACGCTCACGCGTGATCTCTCGCTGTCCCTCTCTACCCCTCCACAGCGGCGGAGTTGCCGCGGTGCGCGCCGCCGGAGGGAGAGAGTTAGGGAGGGTCGGCGGACTCGGGTTTGAGCTGACTTACGCTGCTGGGGTGGATGAGAGGCAGGGGGAGGAGAGACAGCGGGATGAAGACGACCAGCAGCATCTTCCTCGCCGCCCACAGTTTCC